TTATAGGCTTCTTTCAGGTACAAGGAAAAATTTTAATTTTCTGTTGAAGAGAAGATCTTTGTGGAATTTATTCCACTTCCATCAACTTGGACGAGGATGGCAAAGACAGAGTTTATGAAGGAGAAATTTTGTGATTCATTAACAAGATCAAGAAGTCTGTAAAGGAATCTACACAGAAAATGATAGGCAGAACATCCCCATTCCCTGTTAAGATTTAATCACATACCCATAAGCTCGACTCATATATTAGTCTCGTGATGGGTGATTTGAATAGTTTTTATAATTTAATGCATTTAATTTTGTATTAAAAAGACTTCTACTTACCTTTTATAATGATAAGAATTTATTTGCAATATAACTGAATCATACATTTAATTTAACTACAATAAACATGTATTTTTTTTTTTTTTTGCCTTTACAAATAATAACTTATACTTATACAATTTTTTTGGACATGATTTTTTCAACATACCTGCAAAGAAAATTATCCAAAATAAAAAGTCTTGATGTAATGTAAAATTTATAATGTTCTTTGTGTTGGTTATTAGATTAGGAATGTCTCCTGAAAATTTGGTGCAATTATCTTTAAAAACAAAAATGTTGTGGGAAAATAATGCAGAAATGTGAAATTTGGGTCGCACTTTTTGGGGGTAAAATATATAGATTATATAAGGGGCATAAAAAATTTGACTAAAAAATTCATAACTCCACTTCTATAAAAGATAGAAAGATGAAATTGGTGTTGTTATAAAGCTTATAGCTAGCCCTTTAAAATGATGTATCATTCATAGCAATAGGACTATATAAATTTGTGTCAAAGTACCTACTTTTAACTTATATTAATTATAAAAAATTTAATAAAAGGCTTAAAAGGTGTATAATTTATTTCACTTATTATTATTTAATATTATTTAATATTACTATTATTGTCATTGACATCAAAGTATTGTATTAGTCTAATATATTAATTAGTATTTCCGTGGCGCCTAATGAATGATAATGACATAATGAATAATGATTATGTTATGCATTATCATTATGAATGTAGTGTAGGCTCTAACTCTAACTCGATCTTTAATAAAAGCGTAAAGTGAACCTGGTTTCAGCTTACATTACAAGAAACTAGGATAAATTTCCAAACCAGTACTGTCCTAATAAATAACGAATGGCCACTTTATTAATAATAAGCTTAACTATGCGCAAAAATCACTGCCAGGGTCATACCAAATGTAGTATGCCTACCTGTTCCTTATTTCAACTTTTAAAGACAATAAAGGTGAAAAGTGAGAAAGCGATAGCATAGACTTCCGAAGTGACTCCGTTGTCGTAGGAAAGTATTTGTAGCTCTATTTTCCTTTTTGTACGAAGAGCTTTTTTCATTTCAGATTCTTTCACCTCCCATTTATCCTCATTACGTCTTTCGTCCCTATGCCGTTTGTCGACTGCTCCTGCGCATAAAATTTGTGAGCAGGGCCGTGCGATGGGGATTCCGCCCTGGGCGCCAACATCAGGGGATGCCAAAATTGTCTTATTACATTTATAGTGAATTAGACGATAAAATGTCACGTACATCATAATGAACAGGGGCAGGGGCGCCAAAAATAGTATTTTACTGGTCGGCACCCGAGTGGCACTACTTTTTTCTTTGTTGGCTGGTACGGTATAGGCTACTTTGACGTAGCCCTCGGCTCTGGAATTTTGGTATTTGAGTGCCAAAGTAAAACCCCTAATTTCCTCAGCGTACCATTAACTTAATGATATCGCCATAGTTAGATATACATCAGCGAGCCTTGTGTTTTTATAGATCAACGTGTGCTTGCGTTTGAGACTAACGCCTATAATGTATTTAGTCCTAGATACATGGACTGAGGCTAAGTTTTACATAATAATATACTTAAGCGTGTAGAATAATATAAAATCAGCGTTTATACTTTGTGATGTTTGGGCTAAACGTACTGCCGTGCCGTGCATCAAGTCTTACATCGACCTGTTGTGCGCGCTTGTATAATCGTAACAGTCATACCCTTATAGGACATATGCTGCCATATTAATGTAATGCACTCAAAAATGAGAGACTAAACGTGAACAAACACATACGTCTTTAGGCTTTAGGGCATTGGTCTGGAGTATTAACTTTGATGTTGGTTGGAGTCTCTAAGGATTGTCAATTTTAACAAAACTTCCCGCTCACAGTCTAAAAATAAGTTTTTAAATAAAACACTACGAAATTATTTTTTTTAAAAAGATTTCCTTTAAAAGTAATAGAAATGTGTGCCTTTCTTCTAGTACAATATAAACAAACAAAAAATATTGTGTTGATCCATATCGTTCAGGTTAATCTTGTTACAGGCTTACAGAATTCGATTATAAATAAACTTTTTATGGCAAGATTGCGGCTTTGAGAAAAGTTTTAAAAGTAAATTGGTGGGTAATGCACTACCATAAATGTGTAAATCGTAGCAACCTGATACAGTATCAAGAATCCTTATTAAATTTGCCACTAGTGTTTACGAGTGAGGGAAATTCCGAGCCTTTCAACTTAGTCCCTTTAAAAATCTTCTTATTCGTATGCATTTTTACCCAGTCTGGGGCATAGGTCATCCACAAGAATTTTACATTCCTCAAGGTCCTATGCTTTCTTTTCCAGTTGTTTCCAGGTGTATCCCATATTTTGCGTTTCTGCATCAACCTCGCGTCTCCATGTATTCTTTGGCCTTCCTCTCTTTCTTTTTCAATGTGGATTCCATGTTAGGCTTTGTCTGTGGGTACTATCTGGGTTTTTTATGGAGAGTATGTCCTATCCATCTCCATATTTTATCTAAGATGTCTTCGCCGATGGGTACCTGGTGAGTCCTTTCTAGTAGATCTTGATAATTCTCTGACTGTTGTTTTTTTAACTGTCATAAGTAATTACTTTGTTGTCTTGAACACGACGCTCTTAAAGATTTTTTACTGTCCAAGATTATTCTATCATGCCCCATGGCGTGCACACATCATAATGGCCTAGTGGTTGCCGGAGCGAAAAGCAAATAAGAAAAAAAATGGGACATTTAAAATCATTACCAGGATCCACGCTTCGATATGTCAAGAAACCGAATGATGACCATGGTCAGGGTTCAACAAAAGACGTTCCTTGGCTTACCATTAAGACTGATTACCTCGATACCAGAAGCATGCGTTCTACACAGCAAATGGTGGAGAAAATGGAAGAGATTGACGTTAAAATACAAGTAAAAGACATGGATGGTTTGGAAACAGAAATATTGATAATGTTGATTCAAACCAACATAGGCCTACTGTAAGTGTAATGGTTAATGACAAAAGCCGGCATATTTTATCAGATGCTTCTCTCTGGAATGTACCTGTTCCAGATCATTTTCGGTCTGCAATTATTAAAATATGGAGTAAATCGTTTGAGAACAAGGACGGGCCATTCGGCTTAGCGACAAGGCAAGATGCGAAGTCTAAAGGAGGTGTACGCCAACTAACAAAAATAATGGTTCTACAGGATGAAGCCAAATGGCGTGAAAATACTGCGGTCGTGGATGGCTTATTCATTTGTCAGTCAGAAATTGTAGTGTTATTGCTGCAGATTGTTTGCTATTATTGTTACAGAAACAACATCCAAATTTGTTACTGGCTTTAATAGGTGGTGGAAACTGAGCCCAAAATTTAAAAAACCATGAAACATCGGAAAAGCACCTATGTTGCCTTGAAAAGTGGAAGGCATTGGCAGCAGGACTTGGGACACACACACAAAAATGATGCCGAAAGTATTGCTGTGATGGACAGGGAGAAGAAAAAGTGGAGGGATATCATGCACAGGTTGATAGATATCACATTGTATCTTGCAAAGCAAAGTGTGGCATTTCGTGGCCACAACGAGATGCTTCTTCACTGCATGAAGGAAACTTTCTTGAAATGGTTGAGATGCTATCTAAATATGTCTGAGTGCTAAAAGACCGCATACAGGAGTACATTTACAGTAAAAGCATCCGCATCTTACCTTGCACCAGAAACCCAAAATGAATGTATAAATGTCCTTGCAAATCATGTGAAGGAGATTCTAATCCTGAATATAAAGGCTGCGAGGTATTTTGGAATAATGTTCGACAGAACGCCTAATATATCACTCTGAACAGTTGTCTGAAGTGATCAGATATATGAAAATTCATAATTGGAAAATTGAAGTGAGGGGAAGTGTTTCTTGTATTTTTCCCGCTCAAAGGGGAGAAATCTTATGACCTCAGTTGTGACATTCTTACAATTCTTAAAAACTGTGTATTAGTTATAAGGATGTACAGAGCTCAATGTTAAGATAATGATTCCACAAATGTCTGGAATCCATGGAGGTGTTCAATCCATTCGGAAAAGAAATAATAAGAAAGCGATTTTTAATGGATGCGTGTAACATTCGCTTAACTTGTGTTGTCAACACTCTTTTGCCGAAAATGCTTCATGTATTAAATTTTTCGGTACTCTTGAAAGGATATTTTCTTTCTTTGCTGCAACCACTCCTTGATGGTAGAGACCGACAGAATTTCAGCTTCGGCTTCGGTTTCGGCGCCGAAAGTGGCCATTTTATCACTTTCGGCCAAGTTTCAATTTCGGCCGAAACTGAAAGATAACTTTCGGCTTAATTGTAAGCCACCAGCCTAGGCAACGCCTGGTTGTGAGCCACCAGCTTAGACAACGCCTGGTTGGGAGCCACCAGCTTAGACAACGCCTAGTTGTGAGCCACCAGCCTGGACAACGCCTGGTTGTGAGCCACCAGCTTAGTCAACGCCTGGCTGTGAGCCACCAGCACAATGCCTGGTTGTGAGCCACCAGCTTAGTCAACGCCTGGTTGTGAGCCACCAGCCTGGACAACGCCTAGTTGTCAGCCACCAGCTTAGACAACACCGTAAGGTAAAATTCACCATAAGGCCATTTCAACATTAGATTCTAGGTAATAAACTAATTAGAACATTTATAAAAAAGAAAAAAAAAAGAACAAGAGAAAAAGTGCTCAAAGAAAAAGTATTTTGTTTATTATTATACTAGCATTGTAAAAAAAAGACAGAAAGTTTATGTGTTGAAGTACTTTTTCTACAACTAATTTTCAAGAGTAATTACTAACCTCTGATTCCAAAAAGATTTGTAGCAAATCAATAGATAATCTTTTGGAAGATTTTCCGACCATCCATACTCTTGTTTATACATTTCTATCATACACATTTGAAGAAAACAGAAACGCCAATATCAATTTTGTATTGAATACAAACATTATGTAGTTATGTTTTTTTTAAAAATATATTTTAAGCTTACACATATTACACAATGCTGTGCTGTCTATATGTGTAAATACATAAATAACACAGATATATGTAAAATAAAACATTCGAGTATACAGCTTTAGCACAAATCTATGAAAAATATTGTTAACATGGCGGAGCGTATACATAAGTCCTCCTGTCAGGTAATCAATCAGCCGATCATTGTGCCGTCTGGCCAAGGTAAGCTCCCAGGAAGAGAGTGCCCTTGTTGACCTTGTCCTGGATCAGGTAGACAAAGGGTCGATCAACTTTGACCTCAAGCGGTTCGGGAGCAATTATTGCAGACCTTTCAAAGATAAGAATAATGACTGGTATACTCTCAGGGTGGAGATTGCAAATAACCTAAGCCTCTAGAAAACTGCAACGAAATAAAAAGCAATCCTCTCTCTCACCACAAGCTGATCACATTCCCGTCTCTCGATATAAGTTTTTTGTTGTTCTTTAAACATATAAATGTGATGGGCGTTAAGGTGAATTTTAATCGTTGGTTTGTCTATCGGGGGATGTCCATTGTTGGTTTGTCTATTGGTGGATGTCCATTGTTGGTTTGTCTATAGGTGGATGTCCATTGTTGGTTTGTCTATTGGTTGATGTCCATTGTTGGTTTGTCTATTGGTGGATGTCCATTGTTGGTTTGTCTATTGGTGGATGTCCATTGTTGGTTTGTCTATTGGTGGATGTCCATTGTTGATTAGTCTATTGGTGGATGTCCATTGTTGGTTTGTCTATTGGTGGATGTCCATTGTTGGTTTGTCTATTGGTGGATGTCCATTGTTGGTTTGTCTATTGATGGATGTCCATTGTTGATTAGTCTATTGGTGGATGTCCATTGTTGATTAGTCTATTGGTGGATGTCCATTGTTGATTAGTCTATTGGTGGATGTCCATTGTTGGTTAGTCTATTGGTGGATGTCCATTGTTGGTTTGTCTATTGGTGGATGTCCATTGTTGGTTTGTCTATTGGTGGATGTCCATTGTTGGTTAGTCTATCTGGGGATGTCCATTGTTGGTTAGTCTATCGGGGGATGTCCATTGTTGGTTAGTCTATTGGTGGATGTCCATTGTTGGTTAGTCTATCGGGGGATGTCCATTGTTGGTTAGTCTATCGGGGGATGTCCATTATTTGGTTTGTCTATTGGTGGATGTCCATTGTTGGTTTTCTATCGGGGGATGTCCATTGTTGTTTTGTCTATCGGGGGATGTCCATTGTTGTTTAGTCTATCGGGGGATGTCCATTGTTGTTTAGTCTATCGGGGAATGTCCATTGTTGGTTTGTCTATCGGGGAATGTCCATTGTTGATTTGTCTATCGGGGGATGTCCATTGTTGGTTAGTCTATCGGGGGATGTCCATTGTTGGTTAGTCTGTTAGTGGATGTCCATAGTTGGTTAGTCTATCGGGGGATGTCCATTATTTGGTTTGTCTATTGGTGGATGTCCATTATTGGTTTGTCTACTGGTGGATGCCCATTATTGGTTTGTCTATTGGTGGATGTCCATTTGTGGTTTGTCTATTGGTGGATGTCCATTTGTGGTTTGTCTATTGGTCGTTTGTAAATTGGTGGTTTTAAATTGATGGTTTGAAAATTAATTCATTGTCAATTGGAGGATTGCTCATCTGTGAATTGCCTATTGAGAGAGAATTAAAGAGAGAGAAAGAGAGAGAGAGAGAGAGAGAGAGTGAGAAAATATAGAGAACTAAATAGAGAGAGTGAGAGAGAGAGAAATATAGATAGAGAGCAAGAGACAGAGAGAGAAAGAGCGAGAGAAAAAAAAAGAGATATAGGGAGAAAGAGAGAGAGAGAGAGAGACAAAAAGAGAAAGTATGATAGAGAGAGAGAGAGAGAGAGAGAGGAAAGAACTTACATTCTCGCAATTAGCACTGCCGTTGCTGCCGCCGCCTCACAGCCATTCTCGTCAATGTCAATGACGGCTTTCTGTTTGACGTCACTGATGAACAGCCTGACCGCACTTATACCTGACAGATCAGCCTGATGTCAATGGGAGAATAAAGGGAGGGGGGGGGGTTATATGCAAAGAGTGACTTTTCAATCTACTCATGAAACGATACATCGTCTAATTAAAATTCTTCAAGTAATACATTCAAAATTATCTTTGTATACAGCTCTCGGAACGTTTTCAGGGTTTAAAGAAGATATGTAAAGTCCTCTGAATATGTTTAAAGTTGAGCGACAATAAGTGCAGCTCTCTGAATGTGTTTACATTCTCTAAAGACATCAAGTGAAAAAAAAGGGTCAAAGTGTAACTCCATCTGACCTGAGGGGTGAACGCCTTCCTCAAGCCCAAGCTAACCAGGGACTCCTTCAGGTCAAGTTCACCGCTCTCGATCCTAAACTTTGGCAGTGACAGTCTTAGTCTACGACTTTCCAGGTTACTGATTAAATCATTGACTGGGTTGGCGTTGCCCCTGGCGCTGGTCAGCCTCTTGAGAGTGGAAGATAAAGAAGATAAAGAAGAATCACCAACCAAAAAAAATAAAAAAAATAAATAATAATTTGTAAGCAAAGAACTGGTGATGCACCGTATATTATGTTATGCTTTGTTCAATATGCATATTGAACAAAGCATATTATAATATACGGTTTGTTGTTATGTAGCTTTATTGCTTATTGTATTTCCTGTCACATTTCAGTTACATTAATTTAGCTTTCTAATTTTCTATTTTTTAGTTTTCATTTGCTGAAACAAACTTTAAACCGAAAAGGCTTTTCGCCGTCTTTTTTTACATTCAAAATGGGAAACGCATGAACTTACTTTTTCATTGACACGGCTTGCCAAACTTGTATAACTCATGAACTTACTTTTTCATTGACACGGCTTGCCAAACTTGTATAACCCACGAACTAACGTTTCCATTGACACGGCTTGCCAAACTTGTATAACCCACGAACTAACGTTTCCATTGACACGGCTTGCCAAACTTGTATAACTCATGAACTAACTTTTTCATTGACACGGCTTGCCAAACTTGTATAACCCACGAACTAACGTTTCCATTGACACGGCTTGCCAAACTTGTATAACCCACGAACTAACATTTCCATTGACACGGCTTGCCAAACTTGTATAACTCATGAACTAACGTTTCCATTGACACGGCTTGCCAAACTTGTATAACCCACGAACTAACGTTTCCATTGACACGGCTTGCCAAACTTGTATAACTCATGAACTTACTTTTTCATTGACACGGCTTGCCAAACTTGTATAACCCACGAACTAACGTTTCCATTGACACGGCTTGCCAAACTTGTATAACTCATGAACTAACTTTTTCATTGACACGGCTTGCCAAACTTGTATAACTCATGAACTAACTTTTTCATTGACACGGCTAGCCAAACTTGTATAACCCATGAACTTTCGTTTTCATTCACATAAACATTAAAACTATCCCAAAGACCTTTCCAAAACCAGCGTGTCAAAATTGGGAACAACGAAATATTCTAAAACTTGACACACCATGATATAGAGATTTCAAATACGATACTTCTCGAACGTCATCCCCGTAACCCGTAAACACGCCCCCCCGGGCCAAAAACAACAATAACAACAACAACAAACAATAAAAATAAAAAAAAAACAGCATCTGATATGACTTTATTGGTTTTTCGATCTAAAGCCTGAGAGGTTAAGAGCCCCAACGAAGGGTGGGAAAAAAAATGTTGGAAAAGTTTTGAGTTTTTTCCCAATGCATTTTTAAAAAAAGTTTTATTGAATAATTTATATAAGCCTTTCTAAACCTGAGATTTAATAAATTGGACAAAATATGCACCCTACCAGCCCAAGTGACAACCCACACACCAAAAACCCTATATAGTGTTGGCGTTGCGGTATAAATGCTACTTTCACCTCTTGGCAGGCTGCTGTAGAAGAGTTGGCATTGTGGTATAATAGTATTACCTATTAGCAGGCTTCTATAGTAGAGTTGACAATTTGGTATAATTACTATGACCTTTTGGCAAGCTGCTATGGTATTGCAGTATTATGATCGGTTGGCAGGCTGCCATGGTATAGATGGCATTGTGGTATGATTACTATTAACTGTGGCAGGCTGCTATTGCAGAGTTACCATTATGGTATACATGCTATTACCTGTTGGAAGGCTGCTATTGTAGAGTTGGCATTAGGCAGAATGATGAACATGGAGAATCTGCCTCCTACAAAGGGCAATTCGATGATCTCAAAATTGTTTCGGCTTCCGTAGCTGGGGAGAGGTAAAAAGTTGTATTTGAAGTCCTGGACTTCGTGATGGCGTCATCAAAGCTTGTGATCAAAATGTTCATGGATTTGTGGAAGTTAACTTTAGATATTACTAAAATATTGATGTGATTAAGAAACTTTAGATATTACTAAAATATTGATGTGATAAAGGAAAAATAAAAAAGATGATAAATTAAACATATCTTTTATGAATGACTGTAATAGTGCAACATTTATACAGTCTTACAATATTAAAAAAAAAAAATATTTGTCGTCATAAAAAACAACAAACAACATCGAGTTTTTTCACATATCAAATAAAAAAAAAAGAATTCACCGTACTTGTAGAATGCTGTTGCCGTCATGGTCTGCACCTGCTTTTCTCCTTCGCTGAGAGAATTGAAAGGTTTCAAAGCTGTCAGTCCGGGTGTAAATCTGTTCACCCAGGTTCCATTGAATAGGAGGGCGTTGATGATGATGGCCGAGGTGGACTCAGTGATGGTCTGCGGGGCAAGAAGGTCGGTGATTTTACCTGCGGTTGCCTCTGATACCCATGCGTTGATTGGTGCTTCCGGTCCTGAAGGATGGGTGAGGTCAAAATTCTCGACTTTTGCCTGGTACCTTTGTGTAAGAGCTTGTCTGAAATAATGGATGTCATTTGTGGTATAAGCCAATGAGATTTTGGAAAGGTCTTTGGGATAGTTTTAATCGGCGTCTGAAGAGCTGATTTTGTTATGCATTACAGATTGTGTCAAAGATATTTTGCTTTAGCAGTTTAAATAGTTTACATATTTTTAATAAATTGTAATGCGCTTAGAGCTGTAAGGTAAGCGCTATACAAAAATGCCAACAAAATAATAGTAATAATAAAGATATTCGCCTCAATGTTTTTCTTAGAACATGCTGCGTGACACTTTATCTGAGAGAATCTTACCTAAAAAATTATTTCATAGAGCTTTAATGACAATTTATTCTTAAGAGTTTTTTTGTACTTAAATAGTTACCTGAGAGAGGTCATCACAAGATTTATGAGTGAGTTATACCTTAAAGGTATTTTTAAAATAGTTTTATCTGAGAGATTTCTTTGAAATAGTTTTACCTGAATGGCTGTTTGAGGGTAGTTTGGGGCTTCACAAATATGGCATTCGCGTTTCTGACGATGATATCTGGGGCAGTCGAGAGAGAGTTCAGCGCCGATTGATAGACTTGGTGAATTTGGTTTCTTCTTAGACCACTTTGGCTGAGTCCTGTGGAAAAATACCTGGTCTAATGTTACGGCCGTGATTACAAGTCACATTTGTGTTTCGTGTCATGTTCGTCACTAGCTGACATTGTAAATTGATTGACCGAATGCTGCATTATCTCCATGATGACCAGCTAAATTTGGCATGCAGCTCTGACAATATATGTCATTAGGATGACATTTAAACACAACAGAAACTAAAAAAAGGGAAAATTGTGGTATGTAAATGACTTTCTAAGTGCTTCTCAAAACATAAAAACAAAAACAAAAACTTGGGCAGAAAAAGTTCACTCTGCCTGACCCAACAGAAAGATGTCGTCTCGTCATTGTCTTTTGATATGCGCTACAATTAAGTTTGAAAGAAGAGGAGCAGCGAGGACCATAATGTTGAATTTAGCCAATTTTACTTTAGACAAATTTAGCAGCAATTGCTTATTTTCCCCCGGAAATAATACCGATGAAAAATAAAATAGTTTATGAAACGCTTTCGGACCGATGGTCTTGGAGGAGCGATCACTTGCCCTGCCCAGGCACTCGCTACGCTACTTACAACAGTCAAATAATTCGTCAATGGACATAAGTCAGGACATGAGGAAAGAATGAATGAACACTTGAATGATAGATTAAATGAATCAACGAATGAAAATAAGATCAAATATATGTTCGAATGAAATACTAATTGAATAAATTAATGATTGAATAAAATAAGGATTAAACGAAACGCTTGAATGAAATATTGATTGAATGATTGCTAAAATGTGACGTCTAACCCAAGGCGGTGAAAAACTCATTCTCGGTGGCTCGTTTCGCCCCTGCCATGACCATGGAGAGAGCCGTGTGCACGCTGTGAGGGCTGATGATCACATTTGACGTCAGCTGAGGGTAGAGCGTTCCAAACAACTTGAAGCCGAACTTGCTGCTGGCGGTACCGAGGCGCGCCTCTGTTGCCAGCCTGACGGGTCTAGGGGAGGTTGTCCTCCTGAAAGGAATTCAAATAGGGGGGGGGGAGTTTGGTCGTAATGAAAACAAATGAAATAAATTTGAGATACATGAATATGTTGCTTTTTTTTTTTTTTTTAAAAAAAAAAATTTTTTTTTTTCAACCCTTAAACTCAAACAAAATTATAACAAAAATTAAAAAAAAAAAAAAAAAATAAAATAAAAAAAAAAAAATGAAATAAGTTGGAGATACATGAATGTGTTTTTTTTTTTTTTTTTTTTTAAATAACAAATTTTTTTTTTTCAACCCTTAAACTCAACACAAATTATGACAAAATGTGAAGAAAAAAAAATGAAACTAAATTAATATTATAGTATTTTTCTACACCATCGAAATATTACACCTTCATTTCTAAAAGTAGATATTGCTTATCCAAAATTGTTTGACAGAAGGTAGAAAATACCATATAAGCTCCATTTCCCACAGATTTTAAAAAAATCCTTCCTATTAATTGTGCTTTTGTTCGTGGCTGGCTGGCTGATTAACTGACCCAATAAATCTTCTAATTGACCCACTTCCTGTCAACCTATCGAGCTGAAACTTGAAACTGAGACAACGCATTCTTTCACATTTTCAGCCTCAACACCCATTAATCTGATTTTTTCCTGTTTTCAATGGAAAGATGAAGGAGATACGATGTCACCGATTTCACGAAAAAAAGTCCCGTTAACTGCGCTAAATGTAAGAAAATTAATATAATTTAATTGCAAAAGGGGGGGGGGATATCAAATGTAGCATTCTGCCATTCATTGACATTGTATCCCTTAATGTAGGGGACGAACACAAGTGGAATTCATCTTTAAATAAGACATAGTAATCTAATTTTTTTTAAAGATGCTTTTGCTGAGTAATATTTTCTTTTGTTTTTCCGAAATAGTTTGTAAAAAAAAAATATGCGATGTAAAAGCGGTTGGGACAAGAATATTAATTAAAAATTTTCAAAATGTCAATAAAAGATCTATACGAAGAATGTTATTTTAAGGATCGTTTAATTTATTTAAGGATAACATAAATTGTTTTGTTTAACATTTTAATATATAAAAAAAAACCCACCAATAAAGACCTAAGATAACGAATTTTTATAAGTGAATCCATATTTTTGGTTGTATGCATGATAAGTGAATCCATATTTTTGGTTGTATGCATGATAAGTGAATCCATATTTTTGGTTGTATGCATGATAAGTGAATCCATATTTTTGGTTGTATGCATGGTAAGTGAATCCATATTTTTGGTTGTATGCATGATAAGTGAATCCATATTTTTGGTTGTATGCATGATAAGTGAATCCATATTTTTGGTTGTATGCATGATAAGTGAATCCATATTTTTGGTTGTATGCATGATAAGTGAATCCATATTTTTGGTTGTATGCATGATAAGTGAATCATTATTTTAGTTCTATGCATGATTCTTTACAGGAAGTTTAAAAAAAAAAAACAATTTTTACAAAACAATTATTATTTGGTTTAATTCCTTAATGGGTAGAAACCCGCATCACACAATGCACAAAGAACAGCTGCCTGTCGGTGGACCACCACTTTAGGGGGAAAATTTTTTTTAATATGGATTTAAGACCCACCTTTAACACAAGTGAGTATGGATTACAGTCCTGCCTTTACCACAAATATGGATCACAGACCCACCTTTACCCCAACTATGGATTGCATACATGCCGCTACAACTATGAGTTACAGACCTGCCTTTACATCAACTATGGATGGCATACATGCCGCTACAACTATGGATCACAGACCCACCTTTACCCCAACTATGGATTACATACATGCCACTACAACTATGGATTACAGACCTGCCTTTACATCAACTATGTATTACATACACACCACTACAACTATGAATTACAGAGCTGCCTTTAACCCAACCATGGATTACAGACAGGCCACTACAACTATGGATTACAGACCCGCCTTTACATCAACCATGGATGACAGACATGCCACTACAGCTATGGATTACAGACCTGCCGCCACCACCACGTTGTGGTCTCTGAGCACTTCTGAGAACTCTGTGCTGAAGATCGTCAAGATCACCAGACTCACTGTCATCGATTGCACTTGTGTAGCCAACTGACAGGATTCGGTACAGGATTTAGAGAGAAAGAACATGGAATTAGGGCCATACAGAGGCTGAGGCAAGCGATTAAATCACTAGGGGTCCCGTTCACTTGGGGCCCCTTATGGGTGGAGAAAGATACGTTTTAAACAATAATTTTGAAACTTGTAAGGGCCTTAAATTTGGATTTCTTCGGCGCCCTAATGTCCTCTGCACGCCCCTGCAAGGATCCATGTGGTAATTGAGAGTTTTATATTTTAAAAAAAATCTCGAAACATTCTGAAATTTCAATAATTACAATAGAGTTTTATCTTGATTAAATTACTGGGTTGCATGATGTATATCAAATTTGGACCATAAAATGATGTCCTATTGAGGGGCTCTATCTGTAGGAACATGTCATACTTTGTTTTCAAGTAAACTCTTATGCCAGAACATACGCATTTTTAAATAAATAAAAAAAAATTATAAACAACTTAATTGATTTCAAATATTGTGTAGCCTTCTTGCCGTCACGTCTCTCAACTCTCACGCCCAAAATGCTTGTTGTCACTGCTCATAACTCTCACACCCAAACGGTTTGTATTTAAATACATGTTTTGTTTTGTTTTTAAGTACGAAGGTCCTTAACATGTTTGTGCTGGTGGCCCAGTTTGTTAAAATATATCTTATTGAACTGCGAGGCGCCTAATCTGTTTTCAATGTATATAATTTTAAAAAAAGTAAACCTGCCTTTATAAGTATAAGTTCCTTTTTTAATTTTTTTTTTTTTTTTTTTTTTTTTTTTTAATTTTTTTTTTTTTTTTTTTTTGTGATCGACAAAAAAAAATATGTGATGTGGACGCTGATGTCATAATACCACAGACGAACAACGCTGCTGTAGTATCTCAGCATCCCCCAGATTCTCTTGGCGACCACATCTTCGTTTACATTCTTTTTTTTTCTTTCAACCTCTAAAAAATGAATGAAGTCTTCCAGAGGAACGTGCACAACTAACTCACCAGAAGCTAAAGCCAACATCAGCACACCCAGCAACATGGCCAGACGGAAGGGCTGCATCTTATCAAAACTTTATTCAGTGGATCAACTTAGACTGAAGGGGTTGAAAGATGGAGTATATGATTAAATCTTGTGTTGTATGTCTTGTGTTGTATGCCTTGTGTTGTATGTCTCGTGTGAAGTGTGTCTTGTGTTGCATGATTTGTGTAGATGTCTTGTGTGTGTGTCATATTGTATATTTTTTGCCTTATGACTTGTGTTGTAGGTTGCTGTGTGGTAAGAAGTAGTTAATGATGTATTTATAATGATGTATAGATCATTTAAACAAAAAAAAAAAATTAAATTTGGACTTTCGGTTCCAATTTTTCTAAATTTGCTACATTTCATTTTCTTCCAAACCTAATCTCTGGGCCGTCTTCAAAAAACTAACTGTGAACGAAAACCATGGATTCACGTGGACATCCTACAGTTCTTAGGATCTTCACGGACAAGTCTGGACTTTTACGGGCAAGTCTTAGTCATTTTAGCTCAAATTTTGACGGAATTTCCGCTGAATAGTTTCGAATTTTAAGCATTTCAACGACATCATTTTTTGAAATGTACTTTATTTATGAAATAATAACTTAACAACAGACATTGTTTTCTATTCATAATATTGAATGCATGTTGCGCTAGTTTCTACCTGCTACTTAGAAGTCTCAAAAATAATTTATCTATTGTAAAACTCTGGATTATTATTTCTTATTTTATAAAATATCATTAAACAAAAATAAAAATACAATATTTTAATTTTTTTTTAGAAAACCGTTTGGGAAAATTCAACAGTGACAAAATTAAAGTTTATGTTATACGATAATCAGTACGATAATCAATACATGTGAATAACTCCAATAAAATATAGATGCTCACGTGATGATAAATTATTTTTTTAAAGCCTTTAAAATGAAGAGGTTTGGGGGTGAGGTTGTGGTAGGACATGAATGGTTCCCCCTTGAATGTGTGTTGGACAATTTTTGTATTCAATCATCTTAGAACCTGTCCAATAAAAAAAAAAAAAAAAGAACAAAGTGTTGTTAATCAACTACAACGAGCAACTTACAACTGAACAAAACACAACTTACAACTTACGACCGTCCTGAACTAGCGCCAAATGACGACTGTGGTGAAAAGCCGTCGACTCATATCACTGACAGCTTGTGCCAAAAAAAAAACCATCGGATTGTATAACATTCTGATAACGTGGCTGATACTGATGGTTTGCGTCAACAAGGAGGGATTGTGTTACGCTGTGATAACGTTGCTCCGTTCCAAAGACACAGTGCAGCTCAACGCCTAAAAACAACAACAACAACAATAACAACAAAAATCAAAATAAAACAATAACAAAAAAAAAAAAAAAAAAAAAAAAAAAAAAAAAAATTTAAAAAAAAAAAAAAAAAAAAAAAAAAAAAAAAAATAAAAAACACAAAACAAAACAAAAAAAACAAAGAAAAACCAAACCCAAAAAAAAAAAAAAAAAAAAAAAAAAAAAAAAAAAAAAAAAAAAAAAAAAAAAAAAAAAAAAAAAAAAAAAAAAAAAAAAAAAAATTTTTAAGAAATAAGGGAGATAGTTATGTAAACGTATATTTGAAAACGCATAACCAGAATAATTCGACAATCAACCAAAATTATACCAATCTCAAGACACTCGTGTGTGTGACGAGAAAATAAGGGAAATATATTTTTTTTCTTAAACAATATTTTTTTTTTATAAATAGATTAAAAAGAGTACATTTCAGAAAGTTAAACATAAATGAAATGAACTGTGCGCCATTATTGAAATGAAATGAACTGTGCGCCATTATTGAAATGAAATGAACTGTGCGCCATTATTGAAATGTGTTTTTTCTAAAATTCTAATAAAGTTAACGTCTTTGTGGAGATTTCCCAATACACTAAAAGTTAAAGTTATTTGACAAAACATGCATTCAAGTATCGCAATCAGTGCTTACCCCCCCCCCCCTTTTTTCCCCAACCCGGTAAGCGACCGCCCCGGAACTATATTAATACTCTAATTCCCAATAAACTAAAAGTTAAAGTTATTTGACAAAACATGCATTCAAGTATCGCAATCAGTGCTTACCCCCCCCCCCCTTTTTTCCCCAACCCGGTAAGCGACCGCCCCGGAACTATATTAATACTCTAATGTCCCACACACCCCCCCTTTTTTACACCACAGATTTATTTCATCAACTGATTCAGAAAAAAAACACACAAAAAAAAACCAAATGAAGATATGACACAACCAAACACACTTGCCCTATTTTTACGTATCTTATTTAGCGCAGTTATCGGGAATTTTATTTCGTGAAATCAGTGGCATCATATTTCCTTTATCTTCTAATTGACAAACTGGAGGAAAAAAAACTGATTTTTTTTTTTTAAATTTGGGGGGTTGGGGGGGGGGGGGGGGGCTGAAAATTTGATAGAATATGTTATCGCCTAGTTTCAGCTCGATATACTGACGGGAAGTGGGTCAATTAGCCGTCCGAAGATTTTACCACACAGCCAGAAACACACGAAAAAAAAAGCGAAGTTAATATAAAAGATTTTAAAAATTAAGTCCTTCCCATTTTTTTTTAAAAGAACTGTCTATGTACAGATGTTTACATTTCTTACATCATTTGGTTTTAAGAAATGCTTATTCTCTATGTAATATAGGCTCACCTAACCTAAATAACAAAGAAAAAAGAATGATATTAAATTTATTCATAATGATAATACTTAGACATTAAAGATTTCACTTACATAAAATCTGATATATTCGATTATATTTTTTTTAAAAATCGGATTTGGGGGCGTCCATAAAATACGTCAACAAAATAGGGGGTGGGGTGGGGGTTGGAAATGTTTGACAGTTGTTAAGAAGGGCGAGTGAGTGGGGGGTTTGATTTGTTGACATCAATCATTTTTTCTCATTTAAAATTTTAATCTTAAAAATTGACTGGGAATTACATTATTTAAAAAAAAAATTATTAGTGTAAATGAATGTAAATAGACATCTAATTTTTAGGCTTTTAACAATGTAAGATTTATTTAATGCGTGTCTGTCTGTGCACTGCAGATGGCAGGTCGGAATGTTAGCACACTTTGTTAGCACATTTTCATCACAAGTCATGTTGTAAAAGCATGTCCAACAGCACCGACAATGTGCAAATTAGCACATGCTCGTCAACAAATTAGCACATGCTCGTCAACAAAAAAGGATTCGACCACATGCGAGTGGCTGCAGTGAGATATAGAGAGCTTATGGCAATTATTGCTCACACCGACAATGCTTCTATTTTAAGTGCTGAAAGGTTATATGACGATGATGTTGACTTGTCTGGAATATCCAGGGCCGGCGCTAGGAAGGTGCGGGGCTTTCTAAACTTACTTCAGTTTAACTAAAATAAACTACAACAAATGGCACCAGAAACGCATCGCTGCTATTCGGACCCGGGTTCCATTAGACTAAATGCTATTCGGATGTCATTTGTGGTAGTTTATTTTGGTTAAACTGAAGGAGTAAGTTTACAGACATATAGGCCATTCAATTATCTTTCATTTGATAAAAAATTTTGTCTTACAACCTAACAGTAATAGGCCTAGAATTTTATTTTTAATTTTCATCTCAGCCTCTAACTTCTCGGACCCGGGTCCGAATAGCCACTTCGTTAATTTTATTTTACAATGGATAAAAATCACCGATCCATCAAACTGAAACTTTTTTTTTTTTGTTGTTGTTGTTTTTGTTGATGTGAGGTAATCGTACGGTAGATGGCTAGGTTGTGATACTCTCGTCTCTGTTGAAAGAAAAGTTCAAACTCTTTCCAGGGCCATAACTCGCCATAAGTCGTAAGTACCGGTGACGTCACGCGACCTTATTGTCGCACAATTCTATGGACTATGGACTCTTTCATTGTCCGTATCTACAGCGACCTTCTCCGGTTTCCCGTAGCCGTAGCTGGTGGTGGTAACTGTCATCAAAAAAAAAAAAAATGTGTTGCTCCAACTCATGAAAATCTTGTCATATTTTGTATTAACAAAAAACTTTCACGTGAACAGGGTGCTAACCTACCCTACTTGGTACTCAGTTATAATTCTTATTTATTGATTGGCTAATTTTGTTAACTTTATGATTATGAAGGAGAAAAAACAACAAACAACTTAACACTCTAGACCAGTGGTTCTCAACCTTCTTAACAGAACCTCATGTTGAGGCGCCCCCAAACCATCTTATTTGCTACTTCATAAATGTGTGTTTTCGATGGTCATAGGCGATCCCTGTGTAAGGGTCATTTGACCCCCCCCCCCACAGGTTAAGAACCGTTGCTCTAGACAGTGGCGTAGGAGGGTAGGGGGCTAGGCGATCCGCCCCTTATAGCTCCTTTTAAGTTGTAGTAGGCCCGGTCTGTAGATACTAATAGATAAATGAGATATATAGGCCTACTATAAGCGAATGCCAGACAGGAACATTTTGTGTATCTACGTGATCAGGAAAGAAAAAAAAAAAAACGAGCCTTAAATTTACCAACAATGAATATGTATTCCTAATCAACTCTTTAATAAGTTCTTCAATATAAAAATTAACTGTAATAGAAAAAAACTACTAAAAATATAAATATTGTAAAGAAAAATATAAAAATGTAAAAAAAAAAAAAAAAAAAAAAAATTTTTTTCCCCCCCCCCCCCCCCCAAGAGTTCTACATCTTACACATTAACAAACATTCATATTTATTTATAACAGCTTTTTTTAAAAATTGCTTGGGGGAAAGGGGGGCAGTTTTTAAAAAAATAAGGGGGTGGGGTGTTGAAAGTTTGACAGTTGATAACAAGGAAATGGGGGATGGTCACAAAAATTTCCTAAAAACTGTTGACATCATTTATGGACATTTGTAAAGATATAAAACAAAATTTATAGAGATTTATTACATTTTTATTCAAACAATATTTATCAAAATCTTATTTCTTTTTTTTAAAAAATGTTTTTAATTCAAACACAAAAATGACATATTTTCCAGTAATTTTCGTTAGCATACAAATAAAACCAAATGTCAAATGAGATAACAAACAAACATAGGTCATCGTTGAAATATCCTGAATCAAAAGCTAAATACTTTCACCAAGGTTCCTTTTATAAAGAAAATAAGAATTGAAAAAAAAAAAGAATCACTAGAGATAAATTATGGCTTCTTAGCAATACCTTTTCAGAGGTTGGGAGAGAGAGATGGAGAGAGAGACAGAGGGAGAGAGACAGAGGGAAAGAGACAGAGGGAGGGAGAGAGACAGAAAGAGAGAGCTTGGCTAATGTCGTCTCTCATAGCCTCTAATTCCGTTTGTTACAAATGTCTAGTGCTTACATCTCGTTCTCATAGTTGTTTTAAAATGGACACAGCTGCACTTTCAGTGCACCAATACTAATTCACTATACGTTTTGTTTGTTTGTTGTTTTTTTTTTGGGGTGGGGGGTCTTTATGGCACAGTCTAACCCATTGTCAAGTTCCATCTGATTGGCTGTGCAGTTCTTAAAGACCAGCTAACACATTGGCACCACGCTCCCTCTGCTTGACTGTGTCGTGCAACTTATGAACTTACAGCCGCCTGCAGCCCTGGCCTCCATAAGTTCCATAATGTCTCACTATTCTCCTTCATTAGAGTCAGAGAGTTGTTTTTTTTGTTAAAATACTATTTTAAGTTCCTATGTAAATTTGAGGTACTTGCAAATTATGAGCCCAGACTGGGATCATGCTCTCTCCCCCCCCCCCCCAACCCCCAATAGGTGCGCATGCGTAGAGGTACTCCATTCATGTATTTATACATTGTGGCTACAGTTATTCTACACATAAATCAGACCAGTCATCTAGTAGTTCAGCTTCTGTCATAGGACATATCAAGATATGATGCAACTATCCATAACACAGTTCTTACTTTAAGAGAAAATTGACATGAATATGATCAAATAAGCAGACCTTATTTTACAGTATTCTAATATTTCTATAGAAAGAAACCAAATAGGATTTAGCCATCCTGGCCCTGCTGTTCTGTCATAGGTGTCTTTAGGTTAAGGGGGGGGGGGGAAAACAGAGCATTAGTTAGCCCCAACAGGGATTCCCAATCTTTTTAAAATTACTTTTGATTTATGGCCCTGCTGTTCTGTCATAGGTGTCTTTAGGTTAAGGGGGGGGGGGGGAAAACAGAGCATTAGTTAGCCCCAACAGTGATTCTCAATCTTTTTAAAATTACTTTTGATTTTGAAAGAAAACTTGACAGCAGCCTTCACTTGACAGCAACCTTCACCTGACAGTGGCCTCCACTTGACAGTGGCCTCCACTTGACAGTGGCCTCCACCTGACAGTGGCCTACACTTCACTTGAAAGTTGCCTCCCCAATGCTACCATGTGGAACTAAATGTAATTCCATGTGTTTTAGAAGGGTGGAGGGAAAAGTTGTTGTGGTTACTATTTATGTCACATCTTCTGATCTTTATCGTAAGACCCTTGCCCCAAAGATCAGTCATGTATCATGAGACCCTTGTCCCAATTTTTGGACATTTAACATAAAACCTCTGTCCTAATTTTTGGACATTTAATAGCATTAAACATTTGTACTAATTTTTAGCCATTTAGCATAAAACCATGTCACCGTTTTTAGACGTTACGGTACCATAAAAAAAACATCCATCGTACATACCTTATTTTAAATCTTTTTAGGTTTAACTCCTCTTTTACTAACTAACATCAACCATGACATTGCCATTATGTCTTTATCCAAAATACAATACATTAACACACTGTATCATATCACGGAAATACATTTGATAAATACTAAAGAAATAAATTTTATAGATACCCTAAAGCATGATATCATTATCGCCCACAGCTTTCACTATTGTTGCTGTTGCTGTTGTTGGCTGTATAGCCACAGTCATATGCAGCTGTCCTGGTATACCTACTAAAGGTGCTATTGATAAGACAGAGATTAGTTGTGACTAAAGTTGTATCAAGCTGTTGTGGTTTAGGCCTACTAAAGGTGCTATTCTACCAACAGACATTAGTTGTGACTGTAGTTGTCTATGTAAACATAATTGTAGTTCGGAGGACTTCCTGTACGGAACCGATGCTTGGCCAGCTTTCTCTCCCCTTCTGCACTTTTGCTTAGGCCCTTGACTGGTACCTGAAAGAGAGAAGTGAAATGGTATTAAACAAACTCAATAGGTGAGAGAGCATTGTCTATCGGGTGGGTAAAACCTTTTGAGCGTGAAGTAAAATATTTAGAATTTTTTTTTTTTTCGTAATATTTTTAAAAGGTGCCAGGAAACAATTATAAAATTGTTGAAATAAAGATATCATTATACTATATTGGGAAAGGTTCTATACACATCTATAATAAGCAAGATTTTTTTAAAAAATGACCATGAAAATAATTTCCGCTATACTATATAATATATTTAATCTTTCTTTGTGTAGGGTGAGTTTTTGTTATTGTTGGTGGGGGAACGTTAATGTGTCTCCATAAATGTCACCGTCAACTTTGACAGATGTGTCTTGGTTCTGTCATGACTGGCATGTTTTTTACATTGCTGAATATGGAACAAAAATATATTATCACAGCTTTAGGTTCTCATTATATTTTGTTTAGATCAGTTGTTTGTTTCTTACAACTTTAACAGCTATCTGTGCAGACAAAAGATTGTAAAAAAAAAAAGGGTAAGTAACTATAAGATGTCAACACTTTTGTGCAGAAAATCTAGTTACACTTGTGCAAGACAAGCCACAACTTAAAGAAAAATTGGAAGGCTTATAATTAAAACATCGCCATCTTAAAGCATACACACATACCAGTTAAACACACTTAGCCCAAAGGGCAGGGTCCCGGTAAACACACTTATTGGCCCTAATGGAAGGGAACTCAGTAAGCACATTTAACCCAAATGACAGAGATCCCAGTAAACACACTTAGCCCTAATGGCAGGGATCCCAGTAACCTAGATTGTTTTTATGAGATCTCTTTCCCGACCCACCTTCTCTCCTGAACCAACTTCTCTACCAACCTACCTTCTCTCCCGACCCACCTTCTTGAGGCCCAAGGTTGGAGAGTCTTCATGTGGTGATGAAGTCCCTGAATTTAAATACAGTTTTTAATTTTGAAATGAAAATTTAAATCCACTAACCCTGTGGCGCTACAGCCCATGTACCACTTTGGCCTGCCTCACCACAACCTTCCACTCAGAACTTCCATCCATCCCTGTGGCGCTACAAACCATGTACCACTTTGGCCTGCCTCACCACAACCTTACACTCAGACATTCCATCCATCCCTGTGGCGCTACAGCCTATGTACCACTTTGGCCTGCCTCACCACAACCTTCCACTCAGACATTCCATCCATCCCTGTGGCGCTACAAACCATGTACCACTTTGGCCTGCCTCACCACAACCTTCCACTCAGACATTCCACCCATCCCTGTGGCGCTACAGCCTATGAAGCACTTTGGCCTGCCTCACCACAACCTTCCACTCAGACCTTCCATCCATCCCTGTGGCGCTACAGCCCATGTACCACTTTGGCCTGCCTCACCACAACCTTACACTCAGAACTTCCATCCATCCCTGTGGCGCTACAGCCCATGAAGCACTTTGGCCTGCTTCACCACAACCTTCCACTCAGACATTCCATCCATCCCTGTGGCGCTACAGCCTATGTACCACTTTGGCCTGCCTCACCACAACCTTCCACTCAGACATTCCATCCATCCCTGTGGCGCTACAGCCTATGTACCACTTTGGCCTGCCTCACCACAACCTTCCACTCAGACCTTCCATCCATCCCTGTGGCGCTACAGCCTATGAAGCACTTTGGCCTGCCTCACCACAACCTTCCACTCAGACCTTCCATCCATCCCTGTGGCGCTACAGCCCATGTACCACTTTAGCCTGCCTCACCACAACCTTCCACTCAGACCTTCCATCCATCCCTGTGGCACTACAGCCCATGTACCACTTTAGCCTGCCTCACCACAACCTTCCACTCAGACCTTCCATCCATCCCTGTGGCGCTACAGCCTATGAAGCACTTTGGCCTGCCTCACCACATCCTTCCACTCTGACCTAATTGATGCTTTTCTTTTCCATGCTTGGATTCATAGCTGCTGTAAATCCCTCTCAACATCATCCATTCATATCAGCCTAGGTCTGACCTAACAACACAACCAAATTACCATCCAGCTGACACCCTCTTCAAGAAACTAGTTGACATATTATATGCTGACAATGGCACAGGGGTGGTGACATTGGCACAGTGATATAGACATTGACATGGTGATGTTGACATTGGCATTGTGATAGTGACATGGTGTCATAGCTGCATATTATGCAATGTTGGCACATCTCTCTATAAGGATGGTACCATAAGGAGTTTTTTATATAGATAAAATGTTATCAAACCAGTGAACTATATTGAGTGTAAGCTACCACAACCATGTTAGGTGAAAACATGATGTTGGTTAAACAGAAGAAAAAAATTATAATAATAAAATATTGATGATCACCTTCTACGTATTAATTTTATATTAATTATCTCAGTCCAGTCCATTATGATCAACACATGGCCCATCAAAGTGGAACCCAAAAAAATAGTTGTCTCAAAATGAACACAATTTTTTACATTTATAGTTATTCATATTTAGTTTTTACACGCATCGTAAGGAATAAACAATTTAGATTTCTTACCCCATAATGAATGAGATACCGGTGCCAAAAATTGAATAACATATTTGGAGTGGCTGAGGAGGGGGGGGAGGGAGACCAAAAAAACAACAACCCACAAACGCACACAAGGAGATGAAAAAAAAAGTTGCATGAATAAGTCATTCAACAAATGGTAGTATTTCATCAAACCACATTTGGTGCCACCTGCAAAGGGGAGGCACTGATAACATCTGAATGATTGTATCCCTTTGCCGGCTTTGCAGACCCTACTATTTGTTAGATGATGATTGGATGATAAAAAACAAAATAAAATAAAGTATTATTTACCCAAATAAATTAAAGTATTATTTGAAAGCTGTCCAAAACAAACTTGTTATAATTATTTTGATTACTGTAAAGCAGAAAAAAAACAACACTTGTCCACATATTTGTAACATTTTAACGAAAATCACAAATCCTTTATCCCCAGCAAAATGTTAAGACTCTGGCCCCAAAAACTAGTAAGTGATGAGAAGAAAATGAACAGAGCAACACTGGTTACTGTGATTAGAAGTGGTCTTCTGTCGATTAAACAATCTACCAGTACAAAGAGTTGTATTAATATTGCTTCACTCAAACTTTAGTCAATGCAAGCAAATTAAGCAGCAGGTGAAAGCAAAAACGACAAACCAAACGCCTTACACTTACATCCCGCTGTAGTGTTTTATTCGTAACTACTATTTTTGGGAATCTGGTAAATTGTCTCCCAATTTTATGATTCTTATCTGTGTTCTCTTTACTTCCTCGATGACTTTGATTTCTGACCGGTCCATGGTCTGCACTCTGGTGTGCCAGATTAGGCAGATTTTCGCCATTTCTCCCAGCAAACAATGGGCTACGCTCGACTTTGTTTTTTGCCATTTTGACCCTTTCTTGTTTTTGGTGGTCCCCAGTTTTTCCTTCCTCTAATTTCTGGTCGCTTTTCTCATCACCTCGGCCCCATTGTCGGTCCACCTCATCTCCTTCTGTATTACCATCCAAAGTTTTCAAGTAAGAAGAATGTCTTACTGATGCAGAGCTTGAATAGGTTGATCCTTTGTCAGAATCTTTGCCCTGTCAATGGTTCCATGCTTCAGAAGTTAAGATATTTGAACAACACACACAAACACAAAAAACACTTGAAAAAAAATTTAAAATCCCAGAACGTATGCTAAAAGGAAAGCGTAATGATATCATTAAAACAGTTTTTTATATGAATAGGGGCTTCAGTAGACCCCACATGGCCATACAGTGTTGAAAAAACTGAACAGATGAGAAAAGTTCAAAACTAATGCAGAATGAAAGTATGGCATTCACATTATTTATGTAATGTAATGTTATGTCATTTGTTAGAAAGGAGAAGAATAACAAACATGTGATGTGTAGATATGGGTAGTAACCATGTTACTTCTTGTTGGTTCCCAGAGAGGCTATAAAGAGTGTGTTGATAGTCCATTGAATGATTGGGTTGCTAGAGTTCATCAGTGTTCCAGCGTTCATCCGCCAGTAAAGCATAGTATAACTTGGTGTTGTTGGACACAGTCAATATTAAGGATCAATATCAGGGGCCAAAGAATGATCCGAAGGGAAACAATGAACAGAAGGGAAAGAGTGTTATAAATTCAACATTCTTGAGTATTTGTTCAGCTTTAGTTTTTTCATTGAAAGTAAATGAGTAAATGTGTATTTAAGCTCCGTGTGTAGCTGATTCATGATAGAAAGGTTAATTTTAGATTAATCGCCAAGTCCAGGTGATTGATGATATAATCTGTTTGCATCAGTCTTGGTCTTTGGTTCAAATGCCACTAAATGTCTTGGTTTCAAATCCTACCAGTTATCTAAAGTTCAAATGTCAACAAATGTCTTGTGATTAAATCTCACCATATATCTTGGGTTAATTCCCATCAAATGTCTTGGGTTCAAATCCCACCAAATGTCTTGGGCTCAAATCCCACCCAAATTCTTGGGTTTATTCCCACCAATTTTTGGGGTTTATTCCCACAGATTGTCTTAATTTCAAATACCATCAAATGCCTTGGGTTCAAATGCCATTAAATGTCTTGGTTCAGTCCCACCAAATGTATTGCGTTCTATTCCACCCAATGTCTTGGATTCAGTTCCACCACATGTCTTAGGTTCAAATTCCACCAAATATATTGGGTTCATATGCAACCAAATGTCCACATCATCAAGGGATATTAATTTATCTGGTTGAGATATTTCATTCATTCTTCCATTCACACATGAGAAGCCTTTGTTAGCACACACAGGTATGTTTGTCTCTTCAGGTGAAAATCCAGGTAACAAAACTGATTAAACTTTTTGATCTCCCCACTTAAACAAGGTTTCAAAAACTTACGTTAATTTTTTGGGGTCCTGAAATTCTTTTGTTCCTGTCAGCAACTGTGGTAGAGGTGGCGCTTTCTCCTCTGTGCTTAGGGCTTGGACTTCTTGAGCGTCCTAAAAAAGTAGTCAACATAGCACTAAATCAACAGTAGGCCTTAACAAAGTAGTCAACCTGGTACTAAATCAACATTAGGCCTTAACAAAGTAGTCAACCTGGTACTAAATCAACAGATGGCCTTAATAAAGTAGTCAACCTGGTAATAAATCAACAGTAGGCCCTAACAAAGTAGTCAACAGAGCACCAAATCAGCCGTTGAAATCTGAAAAGATAGCTGCTTTAAGTTGGTTAAAGTAAACATGGTGTATAATTATGGTGTTAACTAAAAACCAGATACCTTAAACTCAGATGCACTCTATACCAGGACACCCTATACCCAGACACCTTAAACCCAGATAACCTTTATCCAGATACCTTATACCCAGACACCCTGTACCCAGACACCCTTAACTCAGACACTCTATACCCAGACAGCCTTAACTTACACACCGTATACCCAGGCACCATTAACTCAGACCATGAATCATTGAAGATTTTTCACCCTTGTCTAGAATTATATATTTTTTTGCTGAAGTAAAAACAAATAGTAATCAAACTTATGATTCCACATGATCTTCACTTTTGTGAAATCTTTTAATTGCGTATTAGATAATTGTTGTTGTGGAATATTATAATTATATATTAGATCATTATTTTTGTGAAATATTTGTTAACTAAATTATTTTTTGGCGTTAAGAAGCCAAAAAAAAATAAACTTAAAAAAAATATTTAATCAGAGGTCATGACTCAATCTCGGCAAAAAAAGTCTAATTTTTCGTACAGAACCATCATGCTGGTTTCTATGACATCAAAATTCGTGGACACACATTGATACACATCTGAACACCTCCATTTAAATGCAGGAAACAGTTACCTCCAACTCTGAGGCACTCATCCTTGTGCCTGGCATTCCATGCTTTCATTTTGCAGGCTTTGCTGCAGTAGTACACCTCCTTGCAGCGAGTGCAGGCCACCAAACGGACACCGACAGAGCGTCCACATTCATAGCAGTACTTAAACAGGGGTTTTCTGAAAAACATTTGATACAGACATAACAAATGCACAGTTTTTTACATAATGGATGACTTTCCGTTCCACAAATTTGGCTGAAAATTGTTTAGTTATGTAATGACAGTGTCAGTTTTCAATACATTTTTAATGATGTGAACAAAAATAATAAAATATATTAAATCTATCATAGATAAGACGTTCTCTATAATTTAAATATTTCAAATTTATTAAGGAACAAGGCGTTCTCTATAAATAAAATATATTAAATTTATTATAGAACAAGGCATTCTATATTAATTAAATATATTAAATTTATCATAGAGCAAGGCATTCTCTATTAATAAAAAATAATTTTTCTCCTTTTTGTAGCAGGTTGATAAAAATTATGACAATATTTAATGAAGTATTTGAAATAGAGAGAGTGAAATTGTTGTCATTTAGATACATCAATGTTCATCTCACCTACAACTGCACATTGCTTTTAATATTAATTATTTTAAACAAATCCGTGAAAAGCTAAATTGTGTCATCTAACATTGTAATAAATATTTCTCTCTTTAAATTTATGTCATTATGTTTTACCAAGATCTTAATCATTTAGTAGTATTAGTGAGATTTCTAAGTCATATACACCCCCCCCCCCCCCCCCAACTGGCTTGTTTGCATCAGGCCTCAGAGAAGTTAATCCGGCTCTGCCCCCTGCTTCCACTTTCCACATTCCAAACAAATCAAATACATATTTCAAGAAATTAGATCTTTGATATCATGGACTATAAAAAATCCAGTCTTTTTTTTTTTGGAAAGCCAAGTTTGGAATTTGTACATTATGTCAAGCTTTAAATATAATTTTATTGGCATAAAATTAAAAATAAAGTTAACAAGGGTATGGCTACCTAGTTCAGTAAGAGTTAAGGTAGCAGAGAATGAAAATACTAGCCTAGGACAACAAGGGTTAATGTAGCAGAAAATGAATGTATGGGTATTAATCTACGACACAGCAGTGGAAAGGTATACATTCTAAGGCTGCTATACATATTGTCATCTAGGCATAATCTTACTTTAAGTGAAAATATACTAAAGGAATAAATATTCAAGCAAACAAGTCTCAATTACATAGCCCTAGCCTTAGCTAACAAGACCACACTACCTTAACCCCAGCTAACAAACTCTCACTTCATGACTCTAAACTCAGTGACCAGCCGCCCCACCCAGCCACATGCCTGACCACATGACCCTAACTCCCGTGTCATGCCCCAACTACATAATCCTAACACCAGCTATCAAAGCCACCACTCTCCATGACTTTGCATACCAAATTGAGCTAAAACTAAAAGAATCATTCATTAAAAAAAAACACCAAAAAATAAAAGAAATATTAAAAATAGCAGGCTGGCTTACATATTAAATAAAAATAGTAGGCTAACTGAAATATTAAATAAAAATAGTAGACTAACTGAAATATTAAATAACAAATAGTAGGCTAACTGAAATATTAAATAAAAATAGTAGACTAACTGAAATATTAAATAACAAATAGTAGGCTACCGGTAAATGAAATATTAAATAATGAATAGTAGGCTAAATGAAATATTAAATAACAACAAGTAAGCTATAAGTGGATATTCCAAATGAGGTGCTAAGATAAGTTATAAACAATCAAAATAAATAAATAAAATGTTTAAAATATTAAGTTAAAAAGAATGAAAGACTAATCCAATATAAGTGTTGTTTTTTTAAAAATTAATATCCGTATTAAATCTACCATTGCTACAATCAAGCAAGAATGAATAAGTCTGATTGCATTGGTAACCAGATAGGCTACTTTATATGATAGGCTGACCTCACTGGGGCTTTTGACCGCAGACTGGTCAAGTTCTTAATCTGCTGGGCATCAACACCTTCCATGACAATGATGCCAGACCTGGTCAATAAATCCATTACAGACAAAACAAATATAAAAATATGCAAGCATAGCAGTACAAAACAAAACACAAAGAATATCTGAGAATAGTTATGGTGTTAATCAATCACAGCAATAAATAAATAGTAATTTAAAGATAATTCTAAAAGGTAAATGTTACTAATGGTGAATGACACTAATGGTGAATGACACTAATGGTGAATGATACTAATCACCATTAGTATCTTTCACCATTACTTAATTCACTATTAGTATCATTTGCAAAAGACATGCAAGAGTTCATCTATTTGAACTAAATAACATGCAGGAGTTCACTTTATATTTGAACTAAATGACATGCAAGAGGAGTAAATAACATGCAAGAGTTCACCTTATATTTGAACTAAATCATGTGCAAGAATTCATGGGGAAAAAACCAGGTTTAGATTGATTGATTTTGATATTTATATCGCGCTGGTATCCATGCCACTTTAGCATGCTCACTAAGGTCTGGTTTTTCGAAATCTATTTAAACAAAAAAGTTTCTAAATGTTTCGTAAATGATTTTTTATCATTTACAATTCCCCTCAAAGAGTGAGGCAAACTGTTCCATAATTTTGGCGCTATCGCTTCAAGAGCGCACTCCATGAGACTTTTTTCTGTATTCATCCACACTAGGAACTCTCAGTAAGTACTGTGTTGAAGACCGCAGGCGCTTCAAGGATACACATTTATAAATCAGTTCTTTGAGATATTCCAGTGCTGAGCCATCTATGCAGCTGTATGCCAGGGACAGAATTTTGTAGTTAATGCGCTCACTCACAGGAACCCAATGGAGATCTCATAGAACTGAGGTGATGTGGTCAGATTTTTTCATCCAGGATACAATGTGTACTGCAGTATTTTGTATCTTTTGGAGTCTCTGAATTTGGTTCTGAGGTAAACCCCACAAACAACTATTACAGTAATCTAATCTTGACTGGATTAGAGTTATCGCTACAGCATTGGCTGTTCTCCTATTGAGTTGAGGATGCAGCTGACTCAAGGCACGCAGATGACAGAAGCATGCCTTGACCACAGAACTGATATGGGGAATCATACTAAGTTTACTGTCAATATAAAAGCCAAGGTCTCTGACAGTTGAGGACAACGGGATCTCTGATTCACCAACTTTTATTGATGCAATGGCAACTTTCCAGAAATTGGCTTCTGAACCACAAATAATTGCCTCAGTCTTATCATCATCTAATTTTAGTCTGTTAGCTGACATCCATTCTTTCACAGCAAGACAGCAGTCCTCAACAGCCTTAACAACAGTACCACACTCCAAGGGATTAGGGCGGAAACACTTGTATAGTTCTGTGTCATCTGCAAATATTTTGCGGGAAATACCATGACTTTCAATAATTTTGCCGAGCTGGCTAGTATACATGGAGAACAGAATAGGTCCTAAAACTGAGCCCTGTGGCACACCACAGTTAAATGAAATATCCATGGAAGATGCCTGCTTCACTACAATACGCTGAGTCCTGTCAGTCAGATAAGAAGAAAACAAGATTCCCACCCCCCCCCCCCCCCGATTGGCAAGGTTGACAAAGAGTTAAAAATACCGCAACAATCAAAAACACACCAATAGTTTTAAGTTGGACTTTATTCAATTATCATTGTTCTAAGATGTAGTCTGCTATACTTTTGGAATTTGCCCTGGAAATGCTTAAGTTTCAATTTTACATTGAATGTCAGATTTCTGATAGGAAACTGACACACGACCCAGCTGGTATTAAAACATTTACACAGCAAATTGAATGAAATGACTGTTATTAGTATTTAAGTAATCATGAGTATTAAACATTCTTGTTATGTCAGTCAGTAGGGCCTATGTTCAAATAACAACACACTGTCACTCCAAACTGAAAAGAAAACTGAATTCTGGTTGAAGTGATATTAGTTTCACTCCTTTGTGTAGCAAAGTTAAACAGAGAGCCGTTGTGTTATGAATAAAATAGAGAGCCATTGTGTTATGAATAAAATAGAGAGCCATTGTGTTATGAATAAAATAGAGAGCCATTGTGTTATAAATAAAAGGCTTTTTTGGAAATTATCTAAAACTATTGTGTAATGAAATACATGCTTTTGTACACGACACTCATGATTCTTGCACACGGGACTAAGTGGAATTATATCTGAGAAAAGCGTGAAGTTAGGGATTTATTGTATTGGCGGGAGAAGTTTCCATGAGACTGAAGTAAAAACACAGACAGGGCAGACATTTTTGAGAAGGTTGACATACGTTTTACATTTAACTAATGAATGTCTAAAGAGGTGATATTATATATATTTATGTATATATTTTTAGAGATGCCTATCCTGTGATAATGCTCATATTATTATTATTATTTTTATTATTATTATTGTTCCTAGGATTATTTACTGTGTGAATACAGTGCTTAGTGGGTGAAGTTGGACTTAAGATTTCATTTTGTGTAGAAGTGCCAGTAACAGTTGTTCTAGTACCGGTATTTAAATTTAAATAACTAACATCATTTGTGTGTAACAACATACAAAAAGTGAATAGTGACATGTAATAAATCTAGGTCTATTCATTAGCATGACCAGGTTTTGGTACTGTGGTAAAACTAAATTATCTAAGGATAATTTGGTTTGAAATTATTATTTTTGTATATCTTATTTTAAAAAACATATTTTTTTTTAATCTATACAAAAACAATTAGTACACTACATCTAATGAAGTTTGTCTTTTCAGGCAAGATGAATGAATCTTTTAATGTCATTCAAATAATTGGTGCAAAAAACATTGAAATTTTTCAATTATTACATTCATAAAAATCATTCTCAAAAAGGTCCCACTTCGCAAAAATGATCACAAGGGGAGTAACAATTATAGAGCTATTACGTAGGTCCTAACAACTACAGAGATACTGTTTAATAAATATAGAGTCATTGTGTATTGAATATTGAGCTATTGTATAATGCTTACAGATCTATTGTGTAATAATAATACTGTAAAGAACTGAAAGAATACTAATTTACTTTTTAACATGTTTCTTCAAGGTGGTGGTGTCTTTGAGCTAATATTTTCATGTGAGAGATTGGCATGTGAGAAAGGGGGGAAAAAAAGTGGGGGGTGGTATCAACTGTCGTTTGCAGTTTAGAGTACCTCATAAAATGGAAACTCTGAATGTGTGTGCAACTGACCTTGTTGGTGTCACTACTCTTTCTGGTTGGCCACCCTGATGACCAGATGGGTCAAACTTGACTTGAGTCTGTGCACTCCCCTTGGACCTTACACCAGGTGGCACCTTAGCTCCGGCACCAATGTAAACAAAATTGGAACTTGCGCTCTGACCTAGTAAATAATAAATGATCATCAATTGACAGTTTTCTCACACACACAGCCTAAGATAACTTTCTGTTAATATTTTGGGCGTCTATTTGTGATGTTTGTGTTGACTGACGAAGGCTTTTTGCCAACATGTTTATAATTTGTTTGATCTTCTTTCAGGTTCTGCCTTACCCTGACCATAACCCCTAACCTCTGACCCTAACCTTGTGTTTTATATTAGCTGTACATTATATCAGAAAATTTGACCAAATTTATTTAAATTTATGGATATACTATCAGAAGGTTGACCTATTTAATATAAAGTAATGAATATTCTTTAAGCCCTTTGATCATGTGAATACCTAGGGAGGTGAATTAACATTTGATGATCACTTTGACCTAATTACTAGTTAAACCAGGTGAACTTTAGATGATCACTTTGACCTTGTTAGTACACCAGGTAAACCTTAGATGATCACTTTGACCTAGTGACACCAAATGAACATTTCATAAGCATCTCCTTTAAATAGTATCTTAAGACATTTCACAATTGAAGAAACGTAGCTTTTTCGTTATCTATTGAGTGGCAACACAGGGGAAGGAACCTTATACAAGACAGATTCATAAGTTCTATTTTTAAAAAATGTGTGTCCAAAATAACAGGTTTTTAAGTTATTTGCATTATAAATTCTAAAAATAAAAATAAAAATTAGAAACCCGGTAATAAAAAAAAAAATTCTCAAATTTTCCCAAAGTCAATCGACTAGTGTTCCATTTAATTAAGATTTAATTCTTTTGGTTAAACTCTTTAAAATGCTACCAGCTGTTAAGTACGTAGTTAACTGTTTATTATATTGTATGTATTCCTGCTCATAGAAGCCGATGATGAGCCCAGATAATACAGACATAGGCCTATTTAGTGCCCCCCCCCCACCCAAACTTGAGCAGCATTGTAAAAGATCAAATGAACATGACCTTTCAACTCAATGGGTGGGGAAACTGCATAGAAAATTATTTTGTTGTTTTACTTCCCAAAAATTAGAATATTTAAATTGTTACAAATTTTGTGTTTTCTGCTTTCAATATTTTTTCCCACACACACACAAAAAGCAACATCAACAGTCAGATAAACAGCCAGGCAGCCAACTTTGGGGAGGAGGTAAGCCATGCAAACATACACAGGGTCAAAGGTTGGTTACCAAAGGTTGAGCAAAGCAACACAAGGTCAAAGGCCGGTCACCAAAGGTGGAGTGCAACAACATAAAGTCAAAGGCCAACCACCAAAGGTACAGGAATAAACGTAGTATTATTATTTTAAATTACAGTAGGTTTTAGGTCTTAACCAAAACTACTCATGAACCTTTCCATAAAGTCAGCCATGAACACCAAGGGAGTTTTTAAGGAATATCATTTCCTTTTCATGATATTTCAAATCAAAAACAAAAGCAAGAAACAATATTATATGAAAAGATATTTGAGGAAAATTGAGAAATTATAAATTATGAAAAGTTATGTCGAAACAAGCAAGAAATGATAATATTATATGAAAAGATATTTTAAAACAAACAGAAAAAAAAATGAACTCACTTCTTACTCCAACCTTCTCTTCATTCATAATCCTCATTTTCTCTCTCTCTACAGCTTTGATTCTCATTATGTCACCAATATGGCCCAGAAGTTTGCGACGAGCATTGTATGTGTCACGCTCTGCGTGTGTGAGTGCGTGATAGGGCATGTGAGCGATTCTACGATCCTACACCATTTGAAAATATTGATGTGATTCAACAAATGAATGTGACATTAATGTGATTCAATAAATTACTATGACACTGATGTGATTAAAAAAATGAATGTGACAATGATATGATTCAATCAATGGATGTGATACTAACGTGATTCACCAAATGAATGTGACACTAATGGGATTCAACAAAGGAATGTGACATTGAGGGGTTTTAACAAAGGAATGTGACAATGATGTGATTCAAAAAAGGAATTAAGTAGTCATAAAAACTCAACTTAAAATTCTTGACTGTCATAACATCATGAGACTTTGTCATGACATCATGGATAGATATTAGCATGATGTCATGAAGAGACATTAGCATGATGCCATGAAGAGACATTAGCATGATGTCAGGAAGAGACATTTCTATAACATCATGATGAGTCATTAGCATGACATCATGAAGCAGTGACTTGATTAGGAAGTAACCAGAGAAATGAGTTCCATCAAAACAGAGGATATTTTGTCAACATGCCCTAACTTCTCTATAAATGAATTTTTTTTAAAAATCCATCATGATCATAATAGTGTTGCTCTAAATAAATTACTAAATTCAAAAATCACAAAGGTAATACAGCCCCTGGAGAGCATACAAGAAAATGTAAGGCAGAACGTCAAGAACAAGACTGAAAACAACCAGCTCAACTGAGACGTTACTTCAAGACCGCATGCAGTTCAATGAGTTTGTGTAAAAAATTCTTAAATACTGTAATTAGTTTATATGAAGTTTCACATCTAAAAATTTTTAGAAACCGGAACCAGGATCAAATTTATCTAGCCTCAGCTTCACAAGAGTAATTACTGTATGTTGAAAACTATTTTTGTGAAAAGAAGAAGAAGAGTCCAATCATGGTGAGAATAATGGTGATCAGCTAGATTGAGGAGTTTATGTCATACGTTCTTAAACCTTTTAGTTTTAGCTTAAAAGAGTGATATTACAAGGCCTGACTTTAGAGAAGTAGTCTGAAAATTTTGTTAAAACTCATTTAAGTTTAATTTAATAATCAATAATTATTTAGGAAAACAGCCGAGACTTAATAGTTCATAGGGTATTAAAAAATGTATGAGACCATTTACCTAACACTGATTGTAAAAATGATAGACTTATAAATTGATCCCTGTGTTCTTAGATCACCTGATTAAACATATAATAAGCGTAGTCCACTGCAGTTCCCAGAATCCTCTTTGGACCAATAGGAATGGGGGCGAGGACATCAGCTCCTGCATTGATCAGTTTATATACCTGTTGAAACAGTTTTGATTAAATATTTTGCAATTGAATATCTCAAATTGGTGTTGTCAAGGTTTTTTGAACACAGCCTCCATATATTGTAAAGGTGTTGTGAAGGCAGTTCCCCATATATTGTCAAGGTGTTTGGAATACAGTCCCCATATATTGTCAAGGTGTTGAGAAGGCAGTCCCCCATGTATTGTAAATGAGTTTTGAAGGCAGTCCCCCATATAATGTCAAGGTGTTTTGAACACAGCCCCCATATATTGTCAATGTTTTGTGAAGGCAGTCCCCCATATGTTGCCAAGGAGTTGTGAAGGCAGTCCCCCATATATTGTCAAGGTGTTGTGAAGGCAGTCCCCCATATAAAGTCAAGGTCTTTTGAACATAGCCCCCATATATTGTCAAGGAGTTGTGAACATTGTTCCCCATATCTTGTCAAGGAATTGTTCAGGCATTGTCAATGTGTTTACCATCTTACAGTTATTATTTTAATGTTTCTCTTTGTTCACATGAGAGGTACAGCTTTACATATTACAAGACAATTCACCCATCACATTCTTGGACACTTAACATACAGAATATAACAAACAAGCACACAAAATACTTGACTCACATCTTAAAATTAAATGGTCATAACCATGGTCATATTATTTTCATAATAGGTATGTCTAGTATTTTGTATATATTAGTATATTTTATTTACTATTAATTACTATAACTATAACATCATTTCGTTTTTCGGCCTTGTTAGTATTATTAGTTCTGTATAATCAATCGCATACAAGCTGCTCTCTGAGTCAATCACATACAAGCTGCTCTCTCTCTGACTAAATCACATACCAACTGCTCCCTGGCCTGTATACTTCTCCTCTGTTCATATTCTGTGCTGCTGGCCACACACAGGGCACTGCCCACACCATGGGTCAAAGGTAAGCTAGGTTCAGCACCAAACTGAAGAAGCTCATCAATGGCCTGTTCAGAAAGGAAAAATAAAGATGGTAGAATCACAGGCCTTAAATAGCTTCCAAATCATATATTAAATATTTTCTAAATCATAAATTAAATAGCTTCCAAATCATATATTAAATTTTTTCTAAATCATAAATTAAATATTTTAAAATTATAAATTAAATAGCTTCCAAATCATATATTATATATTATCCAAATCATATATATCTTTTTTGTTTACATTTTTTTTTTTAAACTCTCAGATATGCATAAAAATATGTTTCATAAAATATGCATTTTTCAAATTTAAGCTGAAAAAGTCTTGAGCAAAATTCACCCCACCCCCCCAAAAAAAAAAACCACATTGAAATAAACAGCAACCTCCTAAAATTAATTAAAATAAGACCTAAATCATTATTAATATATGCTGAAATTAACCTCCAAGAATTTAAGTTTAAGCAATTAAAAAAAATTGAAAAGCAAGTTGAAATAAATCCAATAAAATCCTGTCAGTCAAATACACATTACAATTTGAGAAGCACTGTATCATGCCCACACAAAATTAATATGGGAAACACAATATTTTGCAACACAAAGCAGGCAGTATAGGATGTAACTGACAAATTTTTGCCCCTAGATATGGCAGGCAGTATAAAATGTGACTTACCATGTCATTGCCACTAGCTATGGCAAGGGCTAGGGGAGAGAAGCCATTGCAGATTAAGTTTGTATCTGCTTTGTGCTCCAGTAAAAGTCTGACAACTCTGCTGGAATGCTGAAAGTACAAAATTAAAATTTTCATAAGTTAAGTATTAAAGAAATTTAAGTTTGACCTTGCATTTTTGGTTATATTTTGTTTATGGATAATGACAGTTGATATATTTTTGTTATGAGCAATGACAGCTGACATTTGATATTGAACAGTGACAGCTAACATTTGATAACAAAAGATAACAGTAACAGAAAAGACAGCCCATATTTAACCAAGGGAATTAAACAAACTTGCCTTGTAATTATCATCTCTGGCACATGCTATCTGCAGAGCTGTTCGTCCTCCAAGCAGCTTCTTAGACTCGTCGGATATGGGATCTTTCGACCACTCATCTTCCTGATAGCATTTTGACAAGATATTTTTTATATTTGCCTATAGCATCCTACAAGTTTAAATACTGTGTATATAAAATATATAATTATTGATAAAACAATGGGCCTAGCTAATCTAATATGTTTAGTAAAATAAGGGGCCTACAAATATAAAATCTTAGTAAAATAAATGGGCCTACCTGAACAAAATGTTAAGGTCTACTTAATCTAATGTTTAGTAAAATAAGGGGCCTACCAAATTTCTATTTAAAAAAGAATCATCCTCATAAGCCCTTGCATCGGGGTCAGCTAGCGCATCCAACAGCAGTTCAGTCATCTCGACACCTTCCTCCCCTGGGATGGCACATGCTATGTGTAGTGGACACAGACCTCCCCTCTGTAACAAATAACATTGCATCAATCTATTTGTTAAATCTAATGATGATGGATCATTCTCAGTCATCCATTTCTCATTCATTCATTTCTCAGTTATTCATATCTTAGTCATTCATTTCTCAGTTATTCATACCTTAGTCATTCATTTCTCAGTTATTCATATCTTAGTCATTCATTTCTCAGTCATTTATTACTAAATCTATCAAATTTTAAGTGTAACTGACGTTTTGTAACCAATGCCAAAGTCAATAATTGTATGATTGAAAATAAAATGCATAAGTTAATAGGACAAAATATAACATGCAGTAATTGTATGAGACTGAAGGTAGCAAACAATTGATTGTATGAGACTGAAGGTAGCAAACAACCGATTGTATGAGACTGAAGGTAGCAAACAGCTGATTGTATGAGACTGAAGGTAGCAAACAACAGATTGTATGAGACTGAAGGTAGCAAACAATTGATTGTATGAGACTGAAGGTAGCAAACAACAGATTGTATGAGACTGAAGGTAGCAAACAATTGATTGTATGAGACTGAAGGTAGCAAACAACAGATTGTATGAGACTGAAGGTAGCAAACAGCTGATTGTATGAGACTGAAGGTAGCAAACAATTGATTGTATGAGACTGAAGGTAGCAAACAGCTGATTGTATGAGACTGAAGGTAGCAAACAATTGATTGTATGAGACTGAAGGTAGCAAACAATTGATTGTATGAGACTGAAGGTAGCAAACAATTGATTGTATGAGACTGAAGGTAGCAAACAATTGATTGTATGAGACTGAAGGTAGCAAACAACAGATTGTATGAGACTGAAGGTAGCAAACAACAGATTGTATGAGACTGAAGGTAGCAAACAACAGATTGTATGAGACTGAAGGTAGCAAACAACTGATTGTATGAGACTGAAGGTAGCAAACAACTGATTGTATGAGACTGAAGGTAGCAAACAGCTGATTGTATGAGACTGATGGTAGCAAACAATTGATTGTATGAGACTGAAGGTAGCAAACAGCTGATTGTATGAGACTGAAGGTAAAAAACAGCTGATTGTATGAGACTGAAGGTAGCAAACAATTGATTGTATGAGACTGAAGGTAGCAAACAATTGATTGTATGAGACTGAAGGTAGCAAACAGCTGATTGTATGAGACTGAAGGTAGCAAACAATTGATTGTATGAGACTGAAGGTAGCAAACAATTGATTGTATGAGACTGAAGGTAGCAAACAGCTGATTGTATGAGACTGAAGGTAGCAAACAACTGATTGTATGAGACTGAAGGTAGCAAACAATTGATTGTATGAGACTGAAGGTAGCAAACAACAGATTGTATGAGACTGAAGGTAGCAAACAATTGATTGTATGAGACTGAAGGTAGCAAACAACAGATTGTATGAGACTGAAGGTAGCAAACAATTGATTGTATGAGACTGAAGGTAGCAAACAACCGATTGTATGAGACTGAAAGTAGCAAACAGCTGATTGTATGAGACTGAAGGTAGCAAACAGCTGATTGTATGAGACTGAAAGTAGCACACAACTGATTGAATCTCTTCCACATTTACTTACAGCTCTGCTGAGTCGTGTGTTTGGTTGAGCTCCTTTAATTAGAAATTGTTTGACCATTTCAACATCTGCCGACTTGATGGCAAAGAATAGAACTGGCATTGGGACGGAAGATGCATTGGGGTCAGCACCTCTCCTCAGAAGGAGATCCAAAGTATCCTTCATCTTTTCATTCCTTTGTGAAGTGGACAATTTACAGATTAGAGTAATTTTTTTTTATTACTTGGAAATATAGAAATTGTACCGATTCAGATTCCATAAATCCAACAACACATTATCATCTTTATGGATATGATTTACACAAAAGCATTTTAAAACTCACTTGATAAGTAAGTGCATAGAAACAACAAATAACCTAACATGTAAAATTAAGTTTTTCTTCAAACTTGACAAAAAAAATGCATTTACTTGATAATTTTTATTTAAAAAAAATAATTTTCTTCCTTTCTTTTGAAAGGGGTAATCAATATATCCTCCTTACTCCTTGGAGTATGATAATCAATATATTATCCTTCCCCTTTAGAGTGGGGTAATCAACATATTATTCTTACCCATTGGAGAGGAATAATCAATATTTCATCTCTAAACCTTGGAGTGGGATAATCAATATATCATCCTTTCCCCTTGGAGTGGGATAATCAATATATCATTCTTAGCCCTTGGAGTGGGGCAATCAATTATATCATCCTTACCCTTTGGAGTGGGGTAATCAATATATCATCCTTACCCTCTGGAGAGGGCTCAATACAATAATCCCCACATGGAGAGAGACAAATCCCTAATCCTAATAAAATTTAACCATGTGTATCTGGCAATATAAAAAATGGATCATTTTAAGGTTTAAAAAAGACAAAAACCTGGCTGGATCTCACAAACCTGGTTGATCTCTAAAATCTGACTAATTCACACAAAAAAAAAAAGAAAACTGATATGTTCCCCTTAGGTTAAAAACATCTTACTGCCTTATCTGGATGGCAAGTCGTCTAGCTTTCCCGTCACCAACTTCAGACACCTCTCGACTCCAAACTCTTTCATTCTGGCTCAACTGGGTTGCGCATCTCTCGACTAGCTGCTCAGAAACTTCTATCTGGTAATTTGCTATGCTCTGGTTTGAGTCAAAGTCTTCTGGGTCAGGGTTGTGGACGGGGTCTTCATCATCATGACCAAAGTCTTCCAGCTGACCTTCTACATCACCCCCATAAGCAGAATCTGCATCCTCGTCAGCGTCATCACCCAGGGATTTTACCCCAGTAACTGGGTCATCCATATTTGAGGTGTTATGATTTAAAGATTTGTCCCTGTCGGCTGTTGGCTCAGCAATGGAGACTGATTTTGTGGTAAGAGATTTTGAGCGAACACGATTTATTTGGTTGATCCTGCTGGCCCTTCTTTCTCTTTCATTGGCTAAGTTGCTTTTGAGCTGAACTTCCTGTTTGAGATCGGTGGCGAGGCTTTCTTGGATTTGGCCCATGTATCTCTCAGCTATGTTATAGAGAAAGCCTTCAGGTGGGTAGTAGAAGATGGTCCCCGCAGCCAGAGCTGAGCAGCCTTCATTGTTAAGCTTGTTGACATCTGCTCCATGGTTAAGGAGGATATTGATGACATCAGTGTGCCAGTTGACCTGTGATCAAGGCAATTGAGCAGACGTTACAAATTAAATTTTGTTAAACTATATATTGTAAATGTCTACAATTATTACAAGCAAAAGCTTCAAGATTGGATAATGAACTTAACTATTCACCAACTGATGGTTAAATACCTATCTACTTTTAAACTTTTCAAATTGAAGTTAATGAAAATTATAGTTATTTTGTTGGCCCTGACCACACAGCTGCACAGAGCATTTGAGAATATTGGGAAATAAATTTTACTATTTTAAAGGAAAAATATTACATTTTGCAAACTACTTTTGTGGTATTGATTAACAACTAAGCCATACCAACACAATGTTCATATGTGAATGAAATCTAGGGCAATATCAGTCCAGTCAGTTAATTCTTCTATGAAATTTACAATGTCAAAATCTGATCTCATACAATTTCAATCAATTTTGAGAATATTGTGGTTCTTAATTTTTCAGTGTTTGCCCTAAAGGCTAATAAAAAATATGCTATAGCTCCACCCCTAAGGCCCAATAAAAAAATGCTGTAGCTCCACCGCTAAGGCCTAATAAAAATATGATGTAACTCCAAACTTTTTTTTAACCATCTATTTTTCTTACAGGGAAGCAAATTAAATAGTTTCCACCTTCATCTCAGTCAAATAAACACAATCTTATGATTCTAACTTTATAGCATTTTTAAATCCAAAAGCACAACTTACAGATGCACCAATCAGAGCGGTGTGACCATTTCTGTCAGCCACATCAGGACTCACTTTCCCTGAAGACAGCAAAACTTCAACCTTTCTTGCATCCCCAGACCCTGCGGCAACAATAAGCTCCCGAGACTGCAACTCCAACAGACCTTCCTCCTTGAAAACACCCCTGTCCATCCTAATCACTGCATCCACATCAAACCCAGACCCAGTTGTCCCACACATGTTTTTCTGAACATGTTTCTGCAGAGCCATCATTCTAGGCGTCGCATTCCAAGCCACCACCTTGTCCTGAGGTTCTGGGCGTTGGGGAAAGTTTCTGAAAAATGCTTGATCAAACGCTCGACGATTGACGGCAAGACTTCTGTAATCCAAGACTTCACTGTACAGCTCGTCGATGCGCTGTGTCAGATCAATTTTGGGGGGATAATCCAGGGCAGGGATGGGATGGAGAATATTCTCTATGACAGAGAAGGGATGATGTTCCGAGCTTGTGTCGAGGTAAGTGACTGCTTGTTCTTCCTCGTAATCCATTTCTGCCTGAGACTTAAGAGAGAAAGCGTCTTTGATAGGAGAGCATATCTTGATGAGCTTTTCTCCAAGCCACAGTCCGACGTCTTGCTGACCAGTGCTGTAAGTAACGACCCCCGGCCCCTCCCTTTCATCTTCCTTGTAGAGGCCCTGGGAAATTTGTTTGAGAAACAAAATGAAGTACTCGCAAGATGTAACAGAAAGCTTGGTTGTCAGGGTCTAGGTAACTAATTGTGTAAGGTAACTGAGAGTCAGGGGAAATTGAGTCTGGGGTAAGTGAGTCTGGGGTAAAATAAGTCTAGAATAACTGAGTCTGGGGTAAAATGATTCTGGGGTAAAATGATTCTGGGGTAAATGATTCTGGGGTAACTGAGTCAGAGGTAACTGAGTCTGGGGTAACTTAGATTCAAGGGAAACTTATTCAGGAGTAAAATGAGTCTGGGTCAACTGAGTCTGGGTTAACTGAGTCTGGGGTACTGATTCTGGGGTAACCGAGTCTGGGGTAACTGAGTCTGGGGCAACTGAGATTCAAAGGGAACTGAGTCTGGGATAAAATGAGTTTAGAGTAACTGATTCTGAGGTAAAATGAGTCTAGGGTAACTGAGTCTGAGGTAAAATGAGTCTAGAGTAACTGAGTCTGGGGTAAAATGATTCTGGGGTAAAATGATTTTGGGGTAAAATGATTCTGGGGTAAAATGATTCTGGGGTAACTCAGTCTGGGTTATCTGAGTCTGGGGTAACTGAGTCTGAGTTAACTGAGTCTGGGGTAACTGATTCTGGGTTAAATGAGTCTGGGGTAACTGAATCTGAAGTAACTGATTCTGGGGTAACTGAATCAAGGGTAACTGAGTCTGGGGTAAAATGATTCTGGGGTAAATGAGACTGGGGTAACTGAGTCTGGGTTAACTGAGCCTGGGTTAACTGATAGCATGTATGGACTAACTAAGAGTCATGAGTAACAAGAGAGTCTAGGGTGACAGAGAGTTTTTTTACAAATATCTCAATACTGTGTTAAAAGAACTAGCTAATGCATTGCCAACCTATGGTTTAAGAACTTCAAGTGGCAAATTAAGAGTTGGTGAGCATTGAAAACTGCACTAAGCATTGGACTGAGCAATAAGAATATAGCCAGAAAGTATGAAAGCAGGGAGTATGAAAGCGGAATTTATGAAAGCAGAAACTCATTTTTTAATTACTATGAATTCACATTTTCATTCTTAACTGGCAAAGTACAGCGTGCACCAAAAATAAGAACTGAAACTCTAGCATCTTGACCAGACTCTTTGCCTTCCATTCACAGAGCCCTTTCCAGAATGGTGAAATGTCATAACAGCAGTTAGCACAGCCATGTTTAAATGGTGTGCCATCCTATTAAATCTCTCTCGAAATTGATCGGCCACCTTTATCGAAAGCGAATCCCATTCACGATCTTTAAGCATGAGCGAAAATAATGGTAAACAATGAATATTTTTTCCTCCATCAAGAGACCAGTTTCCAGCTACAACTGCCCAACATATCTTCTTTTTTAGTGTGAGGAATAATTGACATTTGGAGTAATGCACTGTTAACAAACGCGTATGAGATTTAAGATGCAAGAGTTTCTGCTCTGTTACTTTTGGTGCATGATGTATTAAACAACTTGTGCAACTGAATGAATGTCTTAAATGCATCTACTAAATTAAACAACTTGTGCAACTGAATGAATGTCTTAAATGCATCTACTAAATTAAACAACTTGTGCTACTGAATGAATGTCTTAAATGCATCTACTAAATTAAATAACTTGTGCAACTCAATGAATGTCTTAAATGGATCTCCTAAATTAAACAAATTGTGAGAATTTGCTGGAAAAGTTGACATTGGATGCCATGAAAACTGGGTATCACTGATGTTGTGCAATTTATATTGTTGAGTTCAAGACATTTTGACAGCAAAAATCTTATGTCTGGATGGGAGGTTAGTTAACCTCTTTATGGATGGGTGGTAATGTTTTTATAGTTTTCATATACTTATGTGTACAACTGATGGGTAGGCCTACTGTCTTACGTCATTAGAAAATAATTACCTGAAAAATATCACCATTAAAAAAGCTGAAATGTCCATATCCCTCCTTTTTATCCATATAAAATGTTCCTTGGAAAACTGATCCATTTGGCCACTTATAAGTTCCCTTGCCATGTCGACGATCTTTGAAGAACTCTCCTTCATAATTCTGAAAACAGAAAAGCCCAATAGGACGCGTATGCTCAAGATTCGTAAAGCTTTTTTTTTTTTCTTTTTTAAAAAGAGTGAGAAGAATTTAATTCCTCTTGGTGCATGCTGACTAATCAGATGTAATAAATCTTCACTATTATTTTACTGACAAGTTGTTTTGATGTGTTTCAGAACCAAGAAATTACAAGGTGGGTAAAATTGGGAGTAAAGTCAATCCTCAACAATCATAACAAAACAGCACAGCTGGCCCATGTTTATTTGTCTCTCATTTCTTCTTTCATGTTGTTTCTTTCCTATTGCATCTGGACTGTTTTCTCTCATCCTTATTCAGATTTGAATGTGCTTTATTTAATCACCTTCATTAACTGATGGCAGTCAATTGTTATTTCGAATTAATTTAAATTAAAAAATCCATAATTATCAAAGAGTATCAACATTAATGGCCTAAAATTATATTGGTTAATTCATATTCTTATGATGTTATAAAAAACTTTGTGGGCTTCTTCTGACAAACAATTCCAAGATAAAATTCACATTATTATAATTCTATCTTGACATGAGCTTTGTCACTGTACTTTGAGGTAATTTTTACATTCATCCCAGTGACATGAAGGTTGGTATTCGGCAGACAAGTTAAGCTCATCAAGAATTTTCATCAATCAAAGTTTGACTAGGTACACAATTTATGAATACATTATGTCTCGATTTCATATTGTCACCGGTCAATTTTACATAAAAACATTTTTCTTTACATGTAGGATTGTAATGTGTGTACGTCTAACAGAAATGTATGTGCACCATTTGCATTCATCTGTGTTTTCAATTGTGTGTGATGAATGTATCTACAATCTGACACGAGATTAATTCAACAATTATGTCACAGAAATAACTAGCTAATTTATTTGTAGCTTTCACCTGTCATTTTTGGTGCTTATAATAATGCTTAATGAAAGTTAAATTAAATTTAAAATTTCTAAAAGTTATTTGTATTCATTACTTTTAATATGCAAAATCAAGAAATTTAGCATGTTTTAATGTATGGATTTATTAAAATACTTCCACCCCTACACAATTATTTTTCTAAAGAAAATTGAAAATTATTTTTCTAAAGGGTATTAAATTATTTTGAACAAGTCGCTTAAATGGATTATACTACAGGTTTAGCACACACTCATAAAATAATTCATTATTGAAGGTAATTTATTTGGCTTATTAATACTGGAATGTTACACTCACCTCTCCATTAGACCAACTAATGGAACCTACTCCATGTCTCAAATCATTTTCAAACTCTCCATTGTAGAAACTACCATCACTCCATGTCTGCCTCCCTGAACAATGAGAGGTTGCAATAATTTTATTTTTCAAATATTTTGATAAAATTAAATATTATTTTGAGCATCCCTACCAATACAGCAATAATCATTACTAAAATTCTTAATAGAATATCTGCTAACACTAGAGGGAGTGGGGGGGGGGGGGGTAGAAACCAAAACAAGATTTAAAAAAAAAAAAGAATTAAATCCCATTCAATTGAACAAAAAAGATGAGAGGTGGAGGATATTTCAACTTGGTTTTGTTTCTTGTATTTTTTCCTCTATTACAAAAAGTTTTGAAAGTATAGTAACCCTTTCTTTCTAACAATAAAGTTTTAAAAGGAAAGTCATAGTCACCTTTTCCATGGCGAGCATTATTACAATATTCTCCTTCGTACTTTGATCCATTTGGCCAGACAAAAGTCCCCCATTCTTTGATTTTAGTTATTTCACTTCCTTCATTTTTAGTTTCAGTTAAAGATTTAAGTGAAGTGATATTTTCATCTTGATTTTCAGCCATTTGTTCTTTGGTTACCAAAGAAGCAGAATTCAGTCGAGGCATCACCTCCATTTTGGCAATCGCTTTTTTTTTATTTAGCCTTGATTTGAAATGGGCCTAAATAGTTGTATATAACTATAATAATGTGAAAATTATGAATAGTTTTTTTTTGCTTGTTTGATTAATTCTATGACATTTTCTAATAAATAATTTAAACATTAAACATGTTAATGTTACAACTAATAAAACTCTGGGGCAACTCTTTTCACTAATTTTAATAATTATATTAATACCATTTATAGCTCACCAAACATTGACAACAGCAATGCCTGAACTTCCCATCTACATAAGTTACTTGACAAAACATGAACTCAAGTAATGGAAATTTAAGAATCCCAATTTTTGCTACACCTTTTCCTTACATGATACGTCACCACACACCTTTTTTTTCACGTCCATGAACTATATTAATTTCTGATGTCCCAACCACTTTTAAACTGATTATTGAATATTTATTATGCCATATTTAAATTGAACAAATTTATTTTTCTAAAAAGAAAATATTACGCCAAATGCAATTGCTTCATTTTTTTAAAGAGTCATTTAGCGTAGTTATCTTAAATTATATTTTGCGCGATATACAGAAATGGTATCAGTTACACCACGAGCGTAATATATATATCAATATATAAGAGATGCCTTGGGCCATAAACTTTATCATAAAGTCAAAACAGAGCCATTGCCATTAAAATATTGGCATAACGGCAACAAGTTTTTGAATTATTAAACAAATTATTTCTTATTATTAATAATAATCAATCATCACTATTTCTTTTAGGTTTTAAACAAAAACAGAGGATGATTTTTAATTTATTATAATAAAATAGTGATAATAATGCACCTGCCTAAGTACTACTTACTAAGTGGTAGGCCTACCGTAACTTTCCGTAAGTCGTAAGTGGCTCTGGCACAGTCAGCCTATAAAGTCTTTACAAAAAGTTCAACGGTTTTTAGCCATTACAGAAGGCGAAATCCCCCATTAATTATTAAAATTGCATATTATTGTAGCTTTCAAGTGTATTTTAATGCGCTTATGGAAGCGAACATCCAACATTCAAGTGCTTAAAATTCTATTTATTGTCATCTTGGCGTTCGATTTGCGCCATCTTGAGTCTGCCAATCGCTTGGCAACCATTAAAGGGCTTTTACTCTTACATTATTTCTAATTGCAAGGGCTTGGTTCGCTAATAACCCTTTTTGCTGCAAAGTCTTTTCTAAACTTACAGGAACAAAATATGAGGAAATATGTAGACTGCACAAAGTTTTTTAAGGGAGCACATTTCACTCAATTTTTTTTCGGAGAAATATTTTGTCCATACGCTACACGTAGCTGTTTATTCTCTCCTAATTTGTGTGTTTCTTATTTCCCTTTAGTGCCCAGTCACACTTCTTTATTCTTTTAAAATAATTACTGGTATATCTAAGACTCTCTGAACTCTGGACGAAACTTGCCTTTTGCCCCTCCCATTCCCAAATGATGCCCCAGGGGCCCATTGTTACGATACAGCAACACCTTGCATACTCCATGGGATGATGATATCAACTAGAAACTATAATAAAATTGCCAGCTTTACTGACAATAATCATGTTTATTATTTATACTTCCACAAACAATGATATTTAATTTAGTCTTTAACAACCTTTTAAAATACAAAACATAATTCAAAACATAGGTTAAGAAAATATTATGACAAAATAATATATTCATCGTTTATCATCCCAAATCATTTAGACATCATGTTAAAACTTTATTAAATTACACAAATGTTCAATTTAGTACACACCATTATAATGTTACCATTTTGTTTAGTTCCAACTTCAGAAAATTTGCCTGTAATTACTTCTTTAGTTTTAATCTGTATATGTATTGAATGATGTTGAATAAAAAAAAAAATAATAAAAAAAAAAAAAATAATTGATCTGAGACAAAGCAATCTAAAAAAAAAAAAAAAAAAAAAAAAAAAAGAATTTAAATTAAAAAAAAAAAAAAATTAAAACAAA